TTATGACACACTGGTATGATATGACACACGAACATGTTATGACACATACGACATGATATGACACACTAGTATGTTATGACATACAAACATGTTATGACACACTGGTATGTTATGACACACGAACATGTTATGACACATACAAACATGATATGACACACTGGTATGTTATGACACACGAACATGTTATGACACATACAAACATGATATGACACACTAGTATGTTATGACACACGAACATGTTATGACACATACGAACATGATATGACACACTAGTATGTTATGACATACAAACATGTTATGACACATACGAACATGTTATGACACATACGAACATGTTATGACACATACGAACATGTTATGACACACGAACATGTTATGACACACTAGTATGTTAATGACATACAAACATGTTATGACACATGGTATGTGTCATAACATGTTCGTGTGTCATAACATGTTCGTGTGTCATAACATGTTCGTGTGTCATAACATGTTCGTGTGTCATAACATGTTCGTGTGTCATAACATGTTTGTGCAATTCAGGACACCTGTTTCCACACACCTCCGCGCACGTAAAACGTTTCCTGTACACCGTTAATATAAATAACGTTGACAGCACACACGCTAAATCAACAACCTGCTATGACTCCGCAGATGTAGACAAACATGATCCTCCACCACTTGTGCACAAGTTCCAGTGGAACACCAAGCACGATCTGAATGATGAGGTTGAACACGATGTGTAACGCCCTGCAATTGACCAACAAAGATTTTACAATCAATACAGCAGGCATACAGCTGGCATGGCTAACACGCTGGTAGGACACTGGAATGGAAAAGCTACTACTTTACCACAGCTCCTTACATACATTTCAATTGATAATAATAATCTTTTTGTCATTCTAGCAACAGATCGACACACATGCCGTGTACATACACATGTGCTCATATGTGCTCGTTTCACTACTCTGTCCTTCTTTTAGAATTAGATTAGTTTTCATTCTGAGAACAGGAAAGAAATTGTGAAACATAAACAGGCATTCATGCGAGTGACATATCACTCTTCACTCAAGTAGGAATACAAGTACACACACACCTACCCAGCATGAATGAACATGTAAGTAGCGTATCTCCACGCTTCCTTTCGCTTGTGCGGGTTGTATATGAAAATGCTATGGACAGGAACGGGACCGTTTGCCCCTACATAGCCGGCCTCGACACAATAGTATATGAAGATGATGATCTGAAGTGGAAAGTCAACACGTATTCACGCGATGCTGTGCTGTTTCGGTGGGCGCGTGTTCAGTGAAACCCAAGAGGAATAAAGCGAGGGAAAGTATGATCTATAGCTAACATGTAAAAGTAGACCAAGTATGTCAAAACACAACTGGTAGAAGAGTGCCTAGGCCTAAGGTTGCAGTAAAGTAGTGTTTCCTAAAACGGGGTCACGACCCCCAAGGGGTCCCGAGCGGGACTTCAGAGGGGTCACAAGATGTCTGCATTGAACCAAGACGTTTTTAAGTCTCAGGGAGAGTGGAATTTTGCTAGCTTTGCGTAGATCTATTTTAATTGCAAATACTGTACAGCTTTTCACAGTCTTAGAGTGTGAATTATGTACCTGCAGGCGACTTGGTTAATAAATATCAGGGAAACATACTGAAGTGAAAATCTTTCAGTTTCACGCTGATTTCTCCCATGTGGGCGAAAATGATAACTGCCTTGTACAGTTTGCATACTAGCCTGTGTGTCTAAATTACATGTTTTTTTAGGATTCCTGTGATACTCCTAATCAGGCGTGTGCACACACTGTATCAAAACTGTACATACACCAATTCTCTCAAAAAATTATCCGTGGAGTGTACACAACACCAGAAGATTGGCTGTTATGTCAGATAAAGTGGTTTCATTCCTCTACGTCTATGGTAAAGGAGTTGTTATAAAAATTTCCTGTGAGAAACAGTTCAGTAGAGGTTGCATAGAGTTACAGATAGTATCAGTGATAGACTAACCTACTCAAAACTTTACTACAGAAGAACTAACTTCTAGTGGTAGAACTAGAAGAACTACTCACCTCGGCCACACTAATAAGTATCATGAAGAGGGGCGGCGGAATGCAGTTGTATTGCTGCACGTAGTGTTTCACCGTGGTTGTACTGGTGCGGGGAACGACACTCTCCACCCCCTTCTCCACCAGCCACTGGAAGACATTCAGTCTCGGATCCGGGTTCATCATCTGCGTGTAAGAACGAAGCCCGTCAGTCGACACGTGAACAGTGCAGGTGCTACGACCAAGCGCGTAGCCAGGGGGAGGGGTCCTGGGGGCCCTAGGACCCCCCAATCAAAATCTAAATCTAAAAAAAAAATTTGGATAAAGAAAATCCAAAAAAAAGCTGCAGAAGAAATAGTATTGTCCGCCTTTCGCCGGCGCGCGCACGCACGCACGCACACACGCACACACGCACGCACACACGCACACACGCACACACGCGCACACACGCAC